CATGACATTGACACCCAAAGATTTTAAAGCACTGGAGGATTTCTACAGGACTGTTTTTTTGCAAGTCTCTTACCTCAAATCTGTTTTTATTCCTTTTCATCTTCATTTTTAACTTCAGAAAACAGACATGTTTCTCCCAAGGGAACAATTAAATGTGTTTTCTTTCAAAATCTAAAGGGCATGGTGAGCAGACTGTGTGTTCAGAGAAAACTTTTGAAATGGGAAGGTGTGGGAATATAATACCATTTTTGGCATAAAAAAGTGTGCAGGGCGATATGTGGTTTAATGGTTTTCTAACAAGCTTTTGGAGAAAGCTTTGAAACATTAAAAAAGACCATAAGACTGTCAAACTACAACAAAGTCTGCTTGAACAGTGAAATTCATGCTATATGTGCAGGACTTCTGAAGTTCACATGACACTTATGTCTCATTTAAACCTTAATACAAGGATTCAACGGAGGCCAGATTTTGCAAGACACTCTCTTCCTCCCCCCATACTCAGGTGTCTTTCCTCACATATACATACGAATTTGAGCCAGATAAGACCAATAACATTGAACAAGTTTTTATATTTTCTTTTAAACTAAGTACAAGTTTAGTTTCATTAAAGAGGTTTTGTTTATTTGTTTTAAACTGAGTTTAATATGAGTTTTATGAGGTCACCTGTCTTCTAATGTTAAAGATACATATTTTTGCATATGACGAATACAGCAGAATTAATTTTTTCTAGATGGCAGAAGAGACAAAGGATATCAGAACAGTTAGGAAGAAAACTAATTATGTTATGGACTGAGAAATTTAACATATTAGTAGTACCACTCTGCCATTCAACAGGAATAGATACAGTAAGAAAACCCAGCCTATATCCCAGCCTGAATAAACCCCACAGATTGCTGAGGTTAACAGTTTCTTAGCTACTTAATTTCATAGTTATTCTTTGCAAGTCTTACAGGGAGGTTTTAACATTATGCAAAGAGGCAGTGCCTCCAACCAAGGCACTATTCACTCCCATTGCCTAAGAGAGCCACAAAGAAATAGAGGAAAAAAATGCCGCTGTGCTTATCATACATGAGCTCAGTTTATTTGTGCTATAAATAAAAGTAGATCTTGATAGCATAATTACATTTCTCAGCATTATCCTCTGCCATTCGCTTCAGAAAGAAAAAAGAAAGGGGAGAAAAAGTTGGCTTCACTATAATTTGTAATCAAAATGACTACACTTAAAATATAGTTTTATTTCCCTGATTTAATTTCCTGTGGAGCTTTGTGGGGCAAATAGATAATATTATACCAAATCTGCAGGCAGATCATTCTCACATCCCCTGCACTGTCATTGTCTAGATCACTTTCCCGCCCTCCCTGTGCTTTCCCCAAGACCAGGGGCTGTGTTTTTGATATTGCATTTTGTCATTGAGAGATATAACAGCAGCATAAATCCCAAGGGTGAATCAACTTTTACTTTCTCTACTTTCTCTCTTGCTCCCCCAAATTACTATTCCTTGCCTAATTTGCTTTTTATAATGTTGAAGGGAAAAAAAAAAAAAAAAAGAAAAAAAAAGAAAAAAAGTGGTTTCCCACTATGAAGGATTAGCGCAGATTATGGTGAACAGTGTTAATTATAGGTGGGTAAAGAGAATAGTGCATCTCTCCAATCTGTTCTTGATTTCCCCTGTGCCTGTCTGTCTGGTAATAAGCCTCCTTTAATCTGGCAGTCCCCTTGGTGAAATCAGCAGCACGGACAGCAATATTGATTGCTTCCGAGAAACCATCACAGCTACTCAACCAAATTATCTTTGATCTGTGACCTTTAATGTAATTACTGCAACATCAAGGCATTTCTATAAATTATTAAAGAACTAATATACTTCATCATCCAGCTACTCTATTATATGTAAAATAAACAATCACAAGTAAACGCCAGAATTTGAATTGTCCGACACTTGCGAAGTGCTCTTTACACATACATACACACCCTGCTACGTTAATCTTCATTTTTCAGCAAGACAATTTCAAACTGCCCAAAACAGCCTAATTCGTTTAGATGAAGAATATTTAACTAATAATTTTATGTTTTAAGTTCCATTCTTGTTGCTTCAAAATATCTGTCACTATTCCTTCCCGCCCAAAACCAAAGTGCTATAAAGACTTTATTAATCAACACATACCTGCTTGGAAGTCTTTTGATTATTCCACAAGATGACTTTATGTCCCACATATAACATAAAAATATGTGAAACATATTTCTGTCATCTTACAAAGCACATCCAGAAAGTAATTACTGTAAAATATGTGCATGTAGCCACTCCACTAAAAACAAAGTGATACATAGCTAAGAGGCAAAGCGTCTGAATCTGGACACGAACTCCTCATGCCTCACTATTCCATACATCAGCATTCATGTGCATATTATTAAAAATGACTCAATTCTGTGTTTTACAGTACAAAGAACACAAACAAGAGCTTGCAAGAGCAGTTAAATACACAGTTTACTGGGGGATGGGAAAGAAGTGTCTTGATTTGATGGCTCACTGTAGTACTATTTTCTTTTTTCTGATACAAGGTTTGTTAATTATTTTTGATACCTCCTCAGTAGTGCTGTTTGTGTCACAGACAGTAGAGGGTCAAGAGAAGGTGTTATATATGTGTCATTTGTGAACTCATGTGAATGAGGACTTAGACCCCTGACCTTATGAGTGCTTTTTATTTTATGGTGATGAACTATGCTTGATATTGTTGGTGCATGTTATCAAGAACAGTCAGGTAAATCATAAATAATTTTCTGCTACTCACATAGGAACCATAAAACAGTATCCAGGCATGATAGTTTATCAAGAGACAAGGCTGGTTTCCTTAAATAAACTACAGTGACATCATTCAGAAGATGAGTTCAGAAACTTGGCACAAATCTGTATGCAGAGGGTTTGCTGGTGGAAAGTAAACCTTTATCCTGAGACAAACAGAACTGGAAATAAAAGGGATGAGAGAAGTCAGTGCTCAGAACTCTCAAAAATTTGGTTGTGATTTTAGATAGAGGTTTCACTGTTGCCAATTCAATCAGATCCTGATGTGTCACCTCAAAGTGTAAAACAAAACAAAAAGGCTTCTGAAGTCAGCATGGCCAGTATAGGTTATATGTGATAGAAATGACATAAAACAATGAGGCAATGTCTTGCCTGTAGTCTAGAATCATTCAGTATAACCTCTGAAGGAATTCTTGATCCTAATACAAAAGCTGGTTGAATTTTGCCACTATCCAAGTCAACAGTTTTGACTTTAAGTGTTTTGTGATTCGAAAATTCAGACTGAGATTCAGAACTGTGGACATACAAGAAGTAAAATAAATAAATAAATAATAATAAAAAACAACAAAAAAACCAGACCAAACACTCCCCAACTCTGAGCCCTTAGTCTCACTAACTCACTGTCTTCTTGAGGATATTCCCATCACACATCTTCAGAATGAGATTTTAACCTCACAGAGAAGATATGACCTCCATATGCAAGGAAGTGGTCCGGCTCTTAATGAAGAGAGCAAACAGCCTCAGTGAAAACAATTGGAATTCCAATTAATATCTTTTAAATACACCACACCCTATTCATCACAAGCGTATCTCTAGTTTTGATAAATGCATACTTGATTTCAAACATATTTCAAAAAAATTCATGTAAAATGTTACATGAAACATCCCTAGTCAATATATTTTCATTTTTTGTACATCCAGTTCTATCTTTCAGAGGAGAAAGAAGTAAAAAGAAAACATCTCCTGTTGGGGGGGGGGGAAATGGGAAAAGATAAACCACAAGAATCAAGATACTTTCAATCTGTGGCTAACAAATTTCTAGAAAAAATAATTCAGAGGGAGTTGTCAGCTGACAGAAATGTATTTTTAGGGAATGAAGTATGTATATATTTACATAAGGTATGGCCTTTAAAGCAAAGATAGATGTAGATGAGCAAGTGCGTGGGCATCTCCATACTGGCAAGGTGGCATAGAGATAGGTAAATAGACGCAGAATGATGGAAACAAGCAGAGCAGAACTAACACTTTCTTCAGAAACATAGAGCAAGTGATGTGTCTTAGGTTTTGTAGAAAGATAGGTTATGGGTGCGCTAGACTCAGTCACTCAACACCAACTAATAAAGGCAGACTTTTGGATCAATTTCCTCCCAGTTTAGATGCAACCTGTAACCCTCAGGATCCCACTTTTATTGCTTGATCACTGACTTTTGTTTCATTGTGAAACCAGCTCTATTCAAACCACAGGAGTGCTGCACTCCACTGTTTCAAATCCATGTACCCTGGCTGAATCTAAATAGTCTCCTTATCTCTCCCTCCCTCCTCCCGGTTACTGCTAAACTGGAAACCCATCCCAGCAGGGCAGGTCTTCCCCACATAATGCTGATTCTATTTTTAGTTCTGCTTGTGTTGTCTGAACCTTGGATCTTGCTCATGTGAATAATTTTCCTCATTATCTTGTGTTCGTCTCTCCTCTCTCTCTTTTCTCCTTGTCTCACCGCCTTTCCAATCTGCTACAGCTGCTTGAATACTAAAGTAACTGAGTCAAACCACTTTCCCATCAGGAATATGTTTTCATTCTGTGATAACTCAATAATGTGATCTGTTTCTTGATTTCTTGCTGCCACACCTTGCTTCAGAGAAGAAAAATAGTAAGAGGTAGCACCTGGTGAGCACTTCTAATATTTCATTGTAGTGGTCAGAATCCTAAAGCATTTCCTCAGCTGAGTAAGGCTGGTAGAATCCAGCCCATAACCAATTAATTACCGTTTTCCTGACTTTTGATAAGAGCAAAAAGCTTTTCATTTTGTGCATGGAAACCGTTTGGGTGGGTTGGTGCTATCTTGATTTTATTAGCACAATGCAAATAGTGAATCATCCGAGCAACCAGAGACGTTACGCTTCCAAACCCAAGATGACAATTCCATATGTAACCCATTTTAGATTTTAAAAAAAAAAAAGAAAAACACCAACAAAAAGTTATCAATCTGGACTCACCCCCGGCAGTGTCTTCTGCTCATGCAGTGCGCTCTGGGCCTTTAGAGCAGACTCCCTTTCGCAGTATGTTAGGAAGGCACAGCCTGTGAACAAAAGACAAAACCTCAGTAAGAGTAATGTTTCATAGGTGATCTGTTTAAAATTAAGACATAGAGCAAACCGCTTTCCCATCATCACCCCAATCCCAGTAAATCAATCATAAAAATCGCTCTTTGGTAGGTTAGTAGTAAAGAGTCAAGAAACTAAGCTATCATCATTTCCTCTGAGTCCTGATGAAAAGTGAGCAACAGTGTGGCTCTGAGTGCTTATTTTTGTTTGAATACATGCTTAAGTGTCAAATACAGAGGGCTTTACAGGATTATGGATCTCAAAGCACCCACATGGTGGCAAGGTAGGGCATGAGATCCCACTCACACTCCAGTAGCAGCACTGCGAACAAGCCCCCTACTGTGATATCACTTTGAAGGTCTCATGCCCTTCTTTTGTACCAAGCACTTCAAGTAAAGGGCATACAAGGACTTGGGACTTCCTACTGCAGAGGACTACGCCTATTGTTTAGCCTGACTTGCATCCACAAGTAGTCTCCCTGTTTGCATCACACCAGAACGCCGCCACCCTGCACTTGCTGTTGCAAGGGCTCATTGGCTTCCAGCCATGCATAAGACAATCACAGCAAACCCAAAACAATCAGTCCAAAACACCCATGTTGCTTTACAGATCATTAGAACTTCAGAGATGCTCTAATGGATCATGTTTTTGATTCTTCCAAAAAGTTATCAACTACAAAGGCTAAAGCCCTATCGTGGTAGGGCAGAGCAAAACCCCTGCTCTGCCTTCTCTCGCCGCTTCCATGCTTGCCTTCTGGTAAACCTGGTCAATGTTGCAATGTCTTAAGTCAGTTTTGTGTGTGTCTGATGTGATAAGATTATTCTTTCTTACTGCAGTATACTGAAAACCTGCCAGTTCCTGCAGCAAAAGAAGTGCTTGTTATGCACAGGACATTTTCTCCAAAGTTACTACAGAACGTCTGCAACCTCGCCAGCTCCTTGAAGTTGAGGTATCATATCTTTCAAGGTTCAGGCAGTATGTCCATCAAACTGTGGGCATCTTCTAAGAGCAGCACAAGTACAGAGAGACTGCCAAAGAAACAAACGTGTCCGATAACCTCATCTTGACCCAGACATCTTTTCCCCATGCATATAAAAAAGTATGCAACAGGTGAGTAAACACTAGACTATGAATTTTTGTTTCAGTTCTGATCACCACTGTGATCTTTTTGCCCACACAATGTTCACTGTTTTATCCAAGTTGATTCCTTAGACAATATTACTGAAGAAATACGCACTTGTTCTTTTATTCTTTACAATGTTTTTAATAGATTAGTACACACAAGAGACTATGGAGATTATTTTTTTTTTTCTGTAAACATACACATATAGTTTCTTAAAGATTGTCATGTGGAAGTCACATACTCCTCTCACAATGAAGCTACAAGTTGGATGAATGTTCCAATTTGGCATGGAAAAAAAAAAAAACAAACAAACCAAACAAACCAAACCTATTTTTGCCCTATTTCTTACCCTATATTGTTTTCTGAAGGTCTTGTTCCTTTGAGTTTACTCAAGCCAATCACGTTTATTATGTCTCAATAATTGAGACTCAGAAGCAGAAGCTGACAATCAAGGAAGGAGAACTAAACAACAGCAAAAGTTTACATACTTTAATTGGAATTATTTGGATTTGTTCCCCTCTAACTTTAAATGGGTGAGTTTTCAGTTAGTCTGTGTCTACCAGGGAAGACAAAGAAACTGTGGCAGAGAGTTTACAGCTAGTGGAAGTAATGGCTTGAAAAGGATCCTTAGAAGTCACCCATAGCTTGATAATCAAATGGAAAACTATGCTCAAATTTAATTTCAGTGCTAAATCACAGGCTGAGAGCTCTCTGTTGACTAGACACAATAAGAAAATCTCCCTTTAGTAGCAGACGTGGAGCGGCTGATACAGTCTAATTAGGCACATCATAGTGCACTGTTATAGAGATAAACTATGCAGTGTAAAGCTCCCATAATGATAGCTATATTTTTCTCCTCATTGTGATGGCCATGACAACAGTTCAGGGTAAAAATGTCCTGCAACTCCTATCATATCATGACTGGAATTCAGACTGAGTAGACAGAAGACTATTCCTTTCTCAAGGAACAAAGTTTCCTTCCAAGATCCACATAAAGTATGCATGGGGGTAAGTTCTCATCAGGGAGAAACCTCTGTTAAGTCCTCTCCAAACATGTTTGTGAAAGTGGTAGAAGTACCAAACTCCCAGAAACAATACTTAGGAGAATGTGTCAAAATATCACTGATTTCCCAAACATAGTGTTAAGGACAGAAAGACATTGAAATGAAAAAAAAAAAAAAATCTAGTCTCTCACAGGGTCAGACAAAATAAAAAAAACATGTTTTTCAGGTGCAGTAAATGGTTTGTGGAGGTATTTCTTTTACTTCTTAAAGATGCCATGCATATGAATTACACTCTGTCCCACTCTTGTTGGGCAAAAAGTAATTTATTTAGCAAAAATATTACCTCATTTACTTTAAGTTAAACCTGATTGTTTAAAGGCAGTAAAGAAGTTCCATCCCAGCAATGGGCCGTTGGAATAAAGTAGATCTTAATGTTCACAATAGGCCTCAAATCTGAACTTGAAAAAGCCACTTTGTGGGTTTTTTTGTCTTCCTTTTACTTATCACAAGATTGCTCTATAATGCATAAATCCAGCATAAGCTAAAGTAATATATTTTAAAAACATTAATATGCGGTTTGTGACAAAAAAAAAAAAAAACAAACCAACAACAAAACCTTATCTATTATTCTAACCTGCAAGAATTTCCATATTTCAGATCTTTATACATTAGGATGAAAGACAATAAAATGCCTCCCTGCCCTTAGAAACATCAAAATACTTGATCTGTGCTTTGTATTGCGATGCTTAATGGAATTACAGCTGTAGCACCTCTTTTAGGTGTTACTTTTCCTAGGCTACCTCTTTCAATGTGCATCCATATGACCCCTCCAAATATTCTTCCTTCCTGGAGAACGTTGCTTAATGAACACATCACTGAACGCTATGGGATACACTACAGGATACAAAGCCCTAAACAACTGAGTCTTAAAATAATGTCCTATGAAGCATCTATATTGGGTTTTACAGAGACAAGTCAAACTGGTGAAAAGGGTTATTTTTTTCATTTTGATTTCCCAGATGGAAAACCATTTCAGAACAACAAACTTTCCCCACTGAAGCTTTTGATTGTGGACAGAATCACTTATTTCACTGAAAAAAACACCTAAAAAATATTTTGATAGTAAACTCTTAAGTGGCTCAACTAAGCAGCTCACTTGCCATCAGCTGTTTGGGCTGGATGTGAATCTGACTTCTGAGTGAAAGGCTTCATATTCCATTACAAATCATTTGTACAATCCAGGTCCCTGGAACAGCCCATGTTCAACACTGAATATTTCTGAGCACATCTCTTAAGGAAAGATAGGGTGAAGTCTATGCATTATTTCTGTCATCTACTTGTGTGGGTGATAATGACCGAGTGAATAAAGTGCTTGAGAATTATATCTGAATTTGAACAAAAAAAATAATATCTAATTGACTAATTATTGATAATGAAGGACTTGGTCCTAGCTGTTCCTAATTTCAATTCCATTTCTCTCAAACATGCCAAGTTTTCCAGACATACGTCAATCAGCTAAAAGATGCTTTGTTCAGATTGTGTCTTTCCAGCTGTTCATTTGCTACCAGTGGACAGCTCTTTGGGCTAGCGCATAAACATCTGGAAACTCCCAGCTGGCAATTAACTCTCAACCTATTGAACTGCAGTCTCTTGGAAACATGAGGACGTATCAAGTGGTCTCCTGGGAAACAAGGTTGTTAAAGAGAAGGGGGAAACAAAAACAAGAGCTTGAGATGGAAAAAAAAAAAAAAAGAAAAAAAAAGTGCTCTATTTTAATTTTACCTCCAGGGAATTCAATAAGGTAAATAATAATTGCATAGAATACAGATGGATAATGATCATACTTACAGGCAACTTCAACCCCACAGTAAGTCTCCTGAAGATTTTGCACAAACCTGGGAGGCAAAACTGTCAGGAGACACATTCTGAGCTGAACAGAATAATTCTGGAAACCACCTCACCAGTACCCAGTTCATCCTGGGACAAATGAAAAGAGAGTTTCACTTGACATCTCAGTGCTTATTATTTCAGTGAATCAGTTGACTTTCAGCCATTTTAAACCAGTGAAGTCTTTCTGACCAGCTAAAAAAGCACTGGTCACCAAACTCAAATTTAGCTATTTAAAAATAGTTATCTTAGGGTCTACCATCAATGACAAGACATTCATTTCACCTAGCATAAAGGAGAGGAATGGAGTTTTGTAGAGGCTTGTCTTCTATATCAAGTGTAAGAACCATGCACAACCGTCGCAGGTGCAGGCTTTTAGCTTCAAGGTTGCATGTTCACAGCATCAGATTCCACCTGCCACCTCTAACCTCCCAGTTACCTCAAGTATATGCATTATCTGTACCTTAATTAATCCTTGTTATATATGGTGGGAGATGAAGATGATGTATACTGGAGATTATTAATAACTGTAATTAAGGGCTTTTCCACCCTTTTTTGTTTTATTCTGGCAGACAGCCATGGGTATCCTGGCTCAGTTTCTCCTCTTTGCCCATTGTTTAGATCAAAGAACAAGCACTTAGTGACTTATGACCCCTTCTTTGTGTGATGTGTTTTGGTGACAACTTATGATTTCATTGGAAATACATAACCTCACACAATGCATGCCTTTAGCTTTTCCATACATCTAGACCCAGAGGCATTGTCTAAGAGCTAAACAATAACCAGAACATTTCCAGTTATTTGCTGTCTGTCCGAACAAGGTCCAGTCTAAATATAATGAAAAAAAAAAAAAAAAAACAAACAACACATTTATATGCTTCAACAGGCTTTGGGGAAGGCCTTTCTTTCTTCTAATCTTTCTGGGCCTATGTTTACTCTTTGGCATTATGAGGGAAAATTA